TAGTTTCACTATGTGAAAAAGAAGGCTCGGTTCTTTGTCCAGGATGCTAGTGCTGCCTCTGCATTGATGGATGTCAGCTACAAGATTTGTGATGAGGAGAACAAAAAGGTATGTTTCGAAGTCATTATCTGTACTTAGTCCCTGGGCAGGAGGACAGGTAGAACTGGTTACCTTCTGCAGGACTAAAGCTCCTTGTGCTTACTCCACCTCTTCTTCCTTCAGATAGCTGTCTTTGTCAATACTTCTGCTGAACCTTACTCTGTGCGGGATAAGTTGGAGCCGGAAATAATGGAACAGCTAAAGGTAATGCCGACTTGGGTACATGTTTGCCCCCAGACACACCTGTTCCTTCTCCAGCCACCATTTCCCTGTCACCACGACAGCCTTAGAGCTCTCTCTCCATATCCCTCTGCAGCTGACCATGATCAAAAGATATGATATCTCTNTCCATATCCCTCTGCAGCTGACCATGATCAAAAGATATGATATCTCTCAGAAAGCTCTTGACCTCCAGAGTCTCCGCTATGACCCAGGTACAACTGACAGCAGTAATTCTAGGGCAGATGAGGGCAGAGGGTTCTTTCTGCCTGGGAGGAAGACCTAAGGAGGGTAATGAAGGAGGGTTTGGGGCTGGTCCTGGACCTCTCTCAGCCTTCTGATTGACTTCCCTTGGCTTCCTGAAGATTTGGTGGGATATGATATTGACATAATTCTGAATAGAAGAAACTGCATGACTGCCACCCTGCAAATCATCAAAAAGAATTTCCCTGAGGTGAGGCCCTAGACCCAGTGCTGGTGTTATATTAGGGGGTCGAACAGATGGGATGGAAGGCAGGTTTGTCTCCGAGGTCTTAGATAGTAACTGTCACTAACTCTTTCCCAAAGCTGTTGTCCTTGAACTTGCACAGCAACAGACTGTACCAGCTGGATGGCCTTTCTGATATTATACAGATGGCCCCCACAGTCAAGATTCTGAACCTCTCCAAAAATGAGGTGAGAAGAGGAACAGAGCAAAGTTGGGTTGAGAGTGGGTGGTAGTGGTCATCAGAGTGATGATGGTAGCGCAGGCAAAGGTACCTGTGAGGCAGGGAGGGAAGGGACTGTGGGTTCAGCGGCTTGGATGTCCCTCTTTCCCTGGGACTATTTTTCAATTTCCCTCCTGTATTTCTCAGCTGAAATCTACCTGGGAGTTGTGCAAGATCAAAGGACTGAAGCTGGAACAGCTGTGGCTGGAAGATAACCCCTTGTGCCACACCTTCCCAGACCAGTCCACTTACATAAGGTCAGTGTGAACCCTTATCACCGTTCCTGGGGTCCTCTGAATCCTGAGAGCCTGGACTACCCTTGACAGTGCCTGCCTCAGAAGGTGGCAGCCCTGGACCTCTGAGAGGGCTGGAGGCCCCACCTTCTCTTCTCTGTGTCCCTCACCTGTGTGCTTAGACGTCTCCTACCCTACCTCTGACCTGCTCACCTGTTCTCATGATCTGAGGTCTGGTTCTGGACTCTGCATCTAGTTTTCTCTATCATGCCCAGCAAGAATGTGCTCCAGGATGCAAGGCTCTCCATCTCACCAGAACTAGGAGTGTTGAACCTGGAGGTAGATACTGCTGATCTGGGCTGAGAAACATCCTCCATCCCAGACTCATGCTGACAGTCCTTCCTGCTTCTGAGATGATACAGAGTATCCCCAATCTATTCTGGAAGAAACCTTCTTTCCCTTGCATGTAAAGGGTGTCCCCTAGAATCCCAGGTTGACATGGAGACTTTCCCACCTCGTGTCAATGGCCCAGTCCCTGGGAACAGCTGTTATGACATCTGTTCCTTTAGTGAAATAATCAGGGATGAGCATTCCTTAATAGAATCCAGGTTTTCCTGAGTGAGGGGCCAGAAGTGAGCCACTGGCAGTGAGCAGAGGGCCTCTTGAGGCAGCACTGGAAGGCAGAGTGCAGAGGGGGTTGAGGAGACAGAAAAGTCTTCTCAGGGACACTGCCCCTCCCTGCACACATCACATCATCTGCCAGGTCCTTCAGAGGAGCCCTGGGTAGCCTGAAACAGGTAGGATTTCTCAGTCAAGGAACCAACTAAGAACAGGCATAGGTGCACAGGAGCCATGAGGAGAGAAGGTGGTGATCATAAGAAGGGGTAACAGATCCCCCACTCCAAGCTCAGCTGGGGCCTGACCCTTTACTCTTTCTGGGGAAGGTCTCCTGATCCTGTGGCTGGTGTGTTTCCCATGCTCAGTTCAGATTGAGTCCCACAGGTTACAAAGTCTCAACCAATATCCCATGGTCCTGAGGCCAACAGATGCATGTTTTCCCTTCCTCCCTGGGGTCCCAGGGCCACCCAGGGGCAGATGAAAGAAAGGGCTGCTGCAGGGAACCCATTCCCCCTTTCTTTTCTCTTCTTATCTTACCCTCACCTCCACTGCCAGGGCAGAGCTTCTTTCCATTCCCTTTACTTTCTTTTTCATCTTTGTCTCTACTCTTCTAGCCTTTGCAATCTCCTCTCCTGTCTTCTCTCCTATCTTTATCCCCCTCCCTTTCCCTCCATGCCTCCTAGTCCCTCCCTCACCTACCTGCCTGCCATCCTTGGGGCATGTCCTGTTTCTTCCAGGATGCTGTACCCCCGGTGAGGTAAGTGAGCCCTGGGCCCCCACCTTATTCCCTCTTCTCTCTGGAGCTATCAGTGTGGACCTGAGGGAAGGAGACAAGGAGGGGGAAGAAGCCCCCCAGTCTGGGATCCATATGTTGTCTTGTGGCTCTGGAGAAGGAGTCAGGGCCCTCTAGGTGGGAGCTAACCAGGAGGAAGGAGAGGGAGAGAGTGGCGGGGGAAGGAAATGGTGAAGGATGGAAGAAGGAATGGAGGTGATAATGAAAGTGCAGATGTGGAAAAGATGGGACTGTGCGTTTCAGAGATTCCATTTGGCAGATGGTCAGTGCTCAGCAGGGGACTGGATCCAAAAGCCTTGAAATCAGAGGCTGAGGAGGGCCCAGGTGGCTTCTGGGTGGGCAGAACACCTGTCTCTGTTCAGGCCTTCAGTGTTTTAAGTAAATGGAAGCTTTGCAGCCCAAACTATCAACCACTTCTTTCTATTTTTGGATTTGGACAGTGCCATCAGGAAATGTTTCCCCAAGTTATTACGCTTGGTAAGTGCCTACAT